TCGGAGTCTCCTTCTCTGGAGGTATTCCAGACCTGCCTGGACGCGGTGCTGTGCAGCCTGCTGTGGGTGACCCTGCTTGGGCAGGGGGTTGGGCTGGGTGACCCACAGAGGTCCCTGCCAACCCCGACCTTTCTGTGATTCTGCGATTCTGTGAGCAGGAGGCACTGGGGCAGGAGCAGGAGCCAGGTTCTGCCTCTAAGGCCAAGCTCCGCTTTTGATGGAGACGCTCCAGCAGTGAAACTTCTCCCAGTTGCCGCAGGGTCCAGGACAGCGTCGGAAGACCCCATGTGTGGATGGGTCCAGCCTACCAGGAGCATCAGCTGCCACAGGCGTTAACAAGACAGCCTACAACGAAACATCTAAATCTAAGCCTCGAGGTACATGGCTGCTCTTTCCCAAATCCCAGACTTGTCACAAGCCTAAGGAACAAGAAAGGAATTCATCTCCCACCTCTTAGGGAAGGTACGTGCTCCAGGTAAGAAGTCTCCTGGGAAAAATGAGATTAATTTTCTTTTTCTGTTTCCACTGCTGGCCCGCAGCACTAACAAAACCAAACTGTTTTACCATCACCTATCCCTGTTTTCCTTACCATCCCACGCCTTGCCTCTGCACACGAAGGCTTTGCTGCAGAACCTTTCACCGATGGTGAAAGAACAATCTCCGAGCAAGAGTCCACACGGGGTTTGACTCTGCACACCCAACAGCAAAGCCCCCAGCACTTCCAGGGCACGGGGTTTGCAGCAGCTCCGGCTCGGACTCAGGGCACTTGCGTTTCCACAACATAATAACAAAACAAAATTCAGACAACCCCTTCCCTATCTCCATCACTCGAAGCATTAGCAGATTATTTCTCTTATTTTGCTTCTAATAAATGAGATAATGATTTTCAGGGGCTTTTCCCCTGACCTGAACAACTCTTTCTCCCATGTTGTTGATATATGCAATAAACTGGAAGCTCTCTCCACATACACTGTTTATTCTAGTCGAATTTAGTTAGGAAACTGCCGTGCTTTCAAGCACTTCAGTGCCAGCAAAAACCGAGAACAGGAAAACAGAAATCAAGTGCCAAGATGCTACAGATATCGTACAGCCAACCTTAAAGATGCAGAGAAACTTCTGGGCTGAATAAGGGTAAAAACTGCACTCGGAGGGAGATCCCCACTTCCACGGCGGATGGGGAAGCCCCGAGAAGGTGGGGGAGGAAAAGGCCTCCTTGAGCTGTGCAGAAATATTCTGGATTATCCCAAACGACCCACTGCAGCTGCAAAAGCTTTCTGAAGGAATAAGAAGGTGATGCACACACGCGTTCAAAGCTGTTCTGCTCCTCTGAGGCTGTATCATTTGAACAGGAGAGCGATGCTGGTTTGGAAACCCTGCACGCTCCTAAGGAGTTAAAATGTAGTTATGGAGACTGGCACGATTAAAATTCT